GCCTGCGCGCGGTGGCGCCGAAGTCATCAGCTCCATCGTGTCCTGCCACGGACACGGGTTTTTAATAAAGCGCCTTGCAAAGAGCCCTGGGGTCGAGACCTTCCTGCGGAGACCGGCCCTGGGGACTGGCCCCAACTTGCTCACAAATGTCCTGCCACAGTGAGTGTCTGCGTTAAAAATAAATCTACAGATATATGTGTTGTCTGGGGCAGGCCGCAAAGCAAAGGGGAAGGCTCGGAGGAAGCGGCTGCTCCTGCAGCCGAGACGGGGCCGCGACTGCCGCCGGCCAGAGCCTAATCTGCCCTAAACCACTTGTAGGGAATTAGCCCCTAAGCAGCTTGTGCCACAGAGAAACACGTCGCTGCCGCAGCCCCTCGCTGGTTAATTAACCGTCTGCTCCGCACGGGGAGGGTGAAGGCGTTCGAGGGCTTCGGCCGCAAGGCCCCTCGTCCCCGCTTCCTCGGCCCTTCAGCACCAAAGGCTCCCTGGCCTGGAATATTTGTGTATTTCCCTTGTCTCCAACAGGAGGGCCCAGGCTGCTCACGTTTACTCCTTTAACCCTCATTAAACCAGGCCTCCATTAACCAGAGCATGTGGCACGAGTAGCCTGGAGATGCTGCCACCAGCAGCAACGAGCCAAAGCTCGTTGGGGTCGCAGCTTCCTCACTGTCCCCTCCCTGTTCTTAGTGCCCTGGCCCTTCTCCACCAAAGCTGCTGCTCAAGACCCTAAGGAGCTTCGGGCCTCTTCCAATTACCTTGATTCCTGCTTAGGGCACCTGGATCCTGCAGGCCGGAATGGAGAGCACAGGCAGGGGAATGAGCACTTTTCCCCAGGTTTCTGCTGGGCCCCTAGCCCAGCCTGGCACAGAAAGCAGCTCTTCCCTCTTTCCATGAGGGAATGGGGATTCTCCTCATCTTGGGTACAGCTCAGTAATTAATTCTGTGTGAGGGCTGGCGCGTGGAGTCCTGGCTGCCAGGACAAGAGGGACGTGGAGCTTCTAGAGCGGGTCCAGCGCAGAGCAACGGAGATGATGAAGGGACTGGAGCGTCTGTTGTATGAGGACAGACTAAGCGAGCTGGGCCTGGTTGGTCTGGAGAAGAGAAGGCTGAGGGGGGATCTGATCATTATGTGCAAATACCTGAGGGGAGAATGTAGGGAGGGTGGGGACAAACTCTTCTCCATGGTGGCCAGTGACAGGACAAGGGGTAATGGGTACAAATTGAACCCCAGGCAGTTCCACCTCCATGTGAGGAAGAACTTCTTTGGTGTGAGGGTGCCAGAGCCCTGGCACAGGCTGCCCAGAGAGGCTGTGGAGGCTCCATCTCTGGAGATCTTCAACCCACCTGGATGCCGCCCTGTGCCCCTGCTCTGGGTGTCCCTGCTGGAGCAGGGATTGGACTAGGTGATCTCTAGAGGTCCCTGCCAACCTCAACACTCTGTGATTCTGTGTCCCTAGTAGAGCCCTGCTGTTAAATCGGCTTCTACCCCACTGCCCTCCTGGCCGGGCTGCAGGGCCTGAGGCTGCATTTAATGCAATGAAAGAAACACCGAGGCCAGGAGCTGCCTGCGCCGGCACCAGCAACCAGTCTGCGACGCAGGGAGCTGGCAGCAAAGTGTCCCGTCGGGAATGCTCACTGGAAAGCCCAGCTTTGGCCTTGGAATGGTTTGGGAGTGTTCATGAGCAAAGAGAAGCGGTGACGCGTTAGTGAGGAAAGACAGAGATTTAGCAGGGTTTGAGGGCAAGGGGCAGCCGGTTACCTACTGCGAGGAGGAGAGGGACTGATGGAGCGGCCCAGGAGCCCCTCGTGTTGAGCAGGGGTCAGCCGGGACCCTCCTGCTCTCCAGACCTCCTCGGAGGGCTCTGGGGCCCAATCTTCACCCCAGACTTGGTCACCCGGTCACGGCTACAGGCGGCCGCCCTGTGACCGTAGCCAGGCCGTTATCCTTCCCAGGGCCCCCCTTGCCTCCGTGCCGGGAATATTGTATTGATCCGAGATGCTCTTACAGGGCCGTGGCAAGGAAGAGCTTCAGCATAGAGGATTGCTATTAATTATGTAGTAACTTATGCTATTATTAATGTACTAACTTACATGGTTGGGGCAGTTGAACACTGGTTATTTGTTTCACCCCACCCCAGACCCTTTTGTTTAATATGATCGTGATAGATATAAGAGCATTAGAAATGGTAAAATGAAGTGGGAGATTAAAAAAATCCCGTTGCTGTTGGTGACCATACAAGAAGAGTTTTCCACCACGGATGTTCTCCCTGCTTTCTCCCTCTTTCTGGAACACTGTGTTTCTTCTGGATCATGGTGAACCATGGTCAGGGCTTTCTGTGCTTCTTTTCAGATGCCCTTCAGTAGGTGACACAGGTCACTGCATTGTAGCAAATCTTCATTTGCATGTACTGCTAGCTATAAATGCATATTTAGCTATACAGAAATATACAGCACTGATAATATAATATATATTATATAAATATTATTGTATATATAATATAATATAAAAATTGCAAAGGGTTCTCATACAAACACACTAGGGCAGTTGCAGGAGCTTCATCAGGATGTATTTCAAAATGACAAAGATTTTGTTCCATGTCAAAAAACATCTGCTTCCTCTCCCGTGAGGAGGTATCAGTATCTGGCAGACTCTCTTCACTCTCAGCTGACACCACATGGGATTTAGGGTGATTTTTTCAAATTTTAGTTAACACATCCACCTTTTGATTCCACATTGTGGCTGTTTGACTAGCCTCAGCATGAGTTTTTCCCCCTTTGTATTTGGAAAAGAAATTTCCTGGTTCTGCCTAGTAAGAATTGCCCATCTTGGTTTCTCCAGACCAGGGATGTTTGTTTCTCTGGTTCTGCATGCACTGTGCTCTGGTGCTGTAAAACAACTGCTCCGATTTCTGCTCTCTGCGCCGCGTTCCCCTTCTTCCAGCCCTTGCCTGCGGCTGGTACCATGGAATGCAACAGCCTTACATTGCCACCTACCGTCTCCCCGTCCGTGCAGGGTGCCCGTGGGTGCCCTCGGAGAAGGGTGGCCCATTCCGCTGCAAACAATAAACATCTTTTTGCTCCCTCTCCTTCGGAACAGGCTGCATTAAGTCGGGGGGGTTCAGTGAAACCCCTTTGGGTTGTCCTAGGGCCGTGAGGGTGTCCTGGTCCTAGCAACTAATTCAATTATTTTTAATTTTTGAATTCTTCGGTGAAAGCTCTGCCTCCTTATGGTCTTATTTCCACTGCCAGGGTTTGCCTTTCTCTAAGAGCAAATATAATGGGCAGGAAATGATAGAAAATAATGCTGGGTTTACAGTATTTGGTAGAGCAGCTCTCAGCAGGGCTGCGTTAGCGTTCGGGGGCCGATAATCGACTGCCACCTCCTGTCTGCTTCCAACCAGGGCAGGAGCTGAGTGAGCTGGGGAGCTGGGGCTGATTTGTCCTTTCCCCAAATCAGTTATGACTTAAGTGTGTCACAACAGAAAGCAGGTATTAGGGTACCTTAGTAATTTTGGAATGAGGGAGTGCAGGGGCTGTGCAGAGTATAGGCACTGTAGCCCTTTTCTGCCAGAGCCACAGGAGCAAATGCTATTCAGGAGGCTCCAGGCTTGTCCATTCAAAACACTAACATTGAAAATATTTTCCTGACAATCTTCAGTTGCAAAGCGAGCGGTCGACATGCACGTTTTGCCCGGGAGCCATGAACTGACCTTGGCAGTTTGTCACACACCACTTGCTCCATTCACACCAGGAATTTTAACTCTTTGCTGCCCAGATTGCCCCCCCAGCTTCTCAGCATCTTGTTGTGTTAGTAGAGTTGGAAGCATAAATTTCAATACCAAAACCTTTACCAACTGTCCTTGAGGACTGTCTGGAGTTACATGGGCCTTCATCCCCAGTGCAGCCCTGATAAGCTGCCACTTGCAGGACAGGCTGATCCAATGGCCTTCCGGGCATTAGGCATTTTTGGCTTCATGCCCTACAATTCCTCCTTACAGGGGAGGAAAGGGATGTCTTCCTCTCTGGGAATTGGCACTGCAGGAGTCAAAATACCCTCCCTCCCTTCACGGTTCCCTCCTTTCTGGAATGTTTAAACCAGACTCACGTTCATGCCTGCGGGCTGACCTTGAGTTGTGGCTCTGCAATGCTTAGGACTGATGCTTTCCTCCATAATTCATTTCTCTGCTGTTGAGATTCTGGTTGCAGGCTTTTAAGGTGTATTTCCCTGTGATTTAGTTTCAGGTCTCACCTTATGATCTCCCCAGGGCTTCAGGTTTCTTTTCCAGCTGGTGCAAGGTCCCAGCCCACATCACAGCCGTCATTAACTTTAATTCTGCCCATGGAGGGAGCTGCCTGCGAGAGTTACTACTTCCCTTTCAGTTTCTCCCCTTTTCTTTTAACCTCAACCCACTTTGCAACGAGAGAGGGTTTAAGCAGAGCATGCTGTGAGAGGAGCATGCTGTCACACCAGCCTCGGCCAGAGCACCCAGTATCTTGTTACCATACGCACCACGTTTACCAGCTTCTGACAACCTCCATCGTTGCCATCTTCAATGCAATTCGCTCCTGGAGGAGTTTCATTCTTGCACTATTACCCAGAAGCTGATGCTCACCTGGGTAGTACTAAAAGATGCCTCACAGAGTATGTTCCTACCTACACTCCTGTAAAAGCCGCAGTGACTTTTGCGTCTGCGTGTCTCTGCCCGGAGGGAATGAGCCAGGATCCAGCTGCGGAGCAGCCAGGAGGATGCAGGGGTGAGAAGGGCTGGTTTCCACTTCCAGCAGCAGGACTCAAAGTGGTGCCTGGCACACGGCGAAGCAGGAATCACTAACATGTGGTTTACTTGCCTGTCAAAAGCAGGCAGCCCTGTAGCTTTGATGAAAATAAGCAGTGCGGGCTGAATTTTTAAATTATTTATTGACAGGAAGGGCCTAGGCCTCCCACTGAGCACATCACAAGTAGAAGCTCTCCTCCCGGAGCACATCAGTCTTCCAGAAAGAAGGAGAACTAATGCAATTTCTTCCTGTCTGTGGCCACTGTTCTGGACATAACTCATGGTGAATTATAGCTGGTGTGTATGTCTAGTGGTCAATAAGCAGCAGTGCTTACTCAAAAGCTTTTGCCTTTTTTTTTTTTCCTGTTAGCTGGAGAGCACCTGCCTTTTTTAATTATTATTAACTAAATTGTGATCCTGGCAAACACCTCTGAATTCTTGCACATATTGAAATGGGCTGGACACTAAACAGTAACCTGATAAATACTCACGTAGCAAGGCAGCCAATGCACTGAGAGGAGGTGCATGGTCCTGAAAGACTTTTATTGTTCACACTGCCACTGCTATTAAGGTGAGACATTTAAACTAACCATTTAAACAACAGCAGGCTCATCTCACGAGAAAGCTATGTATTTATTTGCAACTGCTACAGAATGAAAATGATCCCCTAGAGGAAAATACTTACATTTCTTCAATAAATACTTCCTGAAAAGAGCGAAACTTTAAAACTGGCAGCAAGAGGGAGATCCTGGTTTCTTTTCCAATGCTCCTATGACCCCTGCAGAGCTTTCATCCCACGGAACATTTCCAAGAGGGACTGCTGTCCTCCTTTTGTGCAGCTGTGGTTGTCCTTACTCTTCACGTGGAAAAAGCCCTTTCGCTCTGTCCAACTTATCCAGCACCTCACTATAAAGACCAATCATCTGGAGAATATAAGCACCAAAAGAAAAATAATATATATATATAGATAAATATAGACAAATCAGTGCGACCTATCAAAGACAGATTTATTTGTACTGATATAAAGCAGAGCTTATAGCTGATTTTTATATCAGTACCTAAAGCTATTCTTATTCTCAAGTGATGTATTTAAAATGGTATAGAAGTTGCAGCCAGCTCTTGATTGTAGTGGTTTCTTCATATCCATATTCAGATCCATATCCTCAAAAACCCTCACGTCCTCCCTTCCACTACTAACTATTCCTAACAAATCCATTCCCACTTCCCTCCTCTCACCCATCTGCTTCCACTTACATGGCCCTCATAGCTTTTCTTCAGAGATCCTAAGTGGCTGAGGAAACGCATTCCCAGTCCACACCACTGCTCAGCTTCTTTGTAGTTGCCAGTGCTATACTGAAATATCCCTGTATTCCAGGCTCTTGTCATCAACCAAAGGATCTCCATCTCTGGGTAAGCCTCCTAGAGTAACAAACAAAGCTACAGCTAACCAGAAAATAGAGTTTTCACTTTAAATCTGACTAATCAAGAGTGCATAAAAGTTTAATATTAGAGCAGAAAAGATTTTTTTTCTCCTAAGCGGAGGGCAGAATTCCTTCCACCATTATCAAGCAGTTTGCTTCCAACATGGATAAATAATGTGGCACTTACCTATGAGTAGGCCAGGGAATGCAATTTTCTGTGCCCAAGAATGATGCTACGTAGGAAGCATGCTTTCCTACGGTGTACCTATAGGCAAGGCTGCAGTAGCTGCTAAACTGCTTTCCCCTTTATCCAGACAGCCGTCCCAAATCCTGCCTGGTCCCTGCAGCTCAGAAGCAGTTCTCAGTGTTTTCATATTTTCTCTGTAGCTGCAGCAATAGTTTGCGAGGATGAAAGCTGCCCTTACTGATAACCATGGAGAGAAGCTGGAGCACTCCCTAAGCTGTGAATTGGTGGGGAATTGATTCAACTGGGGAAATGAAGGATGAGCAGTGAATTTAAGTGAATCCTTAATTGAAGCCTGGAAGGACATATTCATATTCAGTGTGCAAAGGTAGAAAGCAAAAGGAAAGATAGTGATTCCAGATCAGGATGTTTCTAAAACAGGCACTGAAAATCTAGCCTTCAATGTCTCAAAAATAAAATTAAATAAATAAAATCTAGAGAAATATGCAAATCAGTCATAAATTTCCAAGTCATTTATTCTGTGTTCTTCTCACTGTGTTTGCTACTGAAGAAGTTTTCAGTGAAAACTTAAATATATTTAGTTGCATATATTTACATATATATGTGTATGTATGTATGCACAACATATAACAGTATATAATGTCAGTCTGACAATTGTTGCCGTTCTAATCAATATGTTTTTAAATGTGCTCAGGATTATGTTTTTTTTTCTGTTCAACTTACTGTGCTGCTGACCATGCTCAGGGCATCTTCAAAGTAGCCCCACACCTCTTGCAATACACAGGCCTCCAGGTCTGTTACTCCGGGCGGCAGAGAGAGGTTAATCAAACTGTGTAAACACTTGCTGGGAATCAGAACAGAGCAAAAGAGGAATATTTCATAGCACATGCACAGAGCAAACAGTCACATTTCAGTATCACCAGCACACCAGCTTGGGCCACCATGATTGCCAGCCTGGCACTTCCACTACAATGATTCCTACGCTCACATTCTTTTTTTGCCAAAACATACATTTTTCTAGTATCAGATCTCATTTGCACAAATGATACAAAATGCGAGATAAAAGTAACAATTAATTATTTTCATTGCTGAGCACTATAGTAACCCCAAAAGATAGATTTACAATATACTGTAGAGGTGCTATACCTAACAGCAAGTTAAATAAGGACACTTATCCTAATTTCACTGGGGGATAACTAAGTAGTCAGCATCCTGCCCGTTGAGCTTCCTCAGAAAATCATTAGCAAACACATGGATCAGCAAAACAGTTCTCTCTTTCTCAGTGTAGGGAGGAAAGGCAGTAATAATGGTAACCTTTGCTCAGCAATTACTATATGTAACTCAGGAAGAAGAAAAAAGAATCCTCTATGGGATAACAAGTTATCCCACAGAGAAGGAGATACCAGGTTATTTTCAGATTCCATAAGCAGTACACTTCATTTTATTTTAAATACCTAGTTCACTACTGCAGAGTAACACCTGGAACAAACACCATCATCATAAGAAACAGCAAGAGCCCCTTTCTGGATCCATTTTTCTTCTTCAGTAGATTTACTGGAAATACCACTGTTTGGGAGAATACACTTAGTGAACAGATTTCTGTTACTGTACTCTTAAGTACATTTTAGTCAGTTGTACTTCAGAGGTACATTGGTTGGCCAGTAGGACGTGGAATGTAGCCCATAAAATAAAAGCCTTTTTTTTTTTCCTTCTCCAAACTGCAGGTCTTATTACCTGTCAATAACACAGGCTCGTGCAAAGGTATGTGATGACACTAACCTAAATCTCACAGTGTCAACAGCAGGCTGCTTTCTGTGAAGGCTCAGTGCACTCTTGAGAGCCTTCTTACAAAGTAAGGGATACCGAGCTGGAGACTCCATGGCTAACGCTTGAAAACAGAAGGAAACAAAGAAGAAAAAAACAACTTAAGCCAGAGCTTTGCTCACTAAACTGCCATATGTTGCCCAGATCCTGTGCAACAACTAAAAAGAGATCTGCTTAATGTCTGTGCTGGTCACAAACAAGTGCTTCTCTGCAGCTTGCTTACTACACCTAGCATCAACAGAAGTGCGGTATGTTTAATAATTAACAAGCACTCCCTCTGCTGTCTTCTGTTGCAGTAACCCAAGGATAATAGGTTCTGCAGTAATTAATAGTTCCTCCCGCCCCCCGTTTTTTTTTGGAGGTGGGTGAATCCCCTCAAACATGAAAATCTGGGTTGAAAAATTAGGCAGGAGATCTTCCAAGTCTGGGCCTGTACTCTCTGAAGACAAGGGATATAAAAAGGCGCTTAATCCTACAGAATCCCTTCAAGGATTTGCATAGCAGCTCTAAATTTTGCACATCTTCCTTGGCATTTAGACTCTATTCTCAAGAAAGCGTGACTAGAACTGCGTGCTGAAAGCATGATAAAGAGCCGAGAAGTGCTAGAGGAGTGCTAGTTTGGAGTTTACAACAGTTCATGTGAACAATCCTTTCCAACTAACAACTTAGACAAATGTGTCAGGTTCTATAAATGGAAGGACACCATAAATTCACCCTCCATGTAATAAGATGATATTTCAAAATACACATCTCTGAATATTGCTGATATCCTAAGCATTTTTGCTTCAGGACTAGGTATATATGGTTACACTGATTTTATGCAAGATGCACAGTAATCCTAGTCACCATAAAGAATAACATAAGCTATTTTTCACAGCTTAAAGAACTATAAAAACACAAACGCAATCCTTACATGCAATGATTTCCAGTGTCTTGATCTCTATTTGTGGCTGTTCCCATACCGACTCCATAAGGTTGCTGAGTTCAGGATCATTCAGTTTGGCTCTTGCTTCAAATTCATAAAGAAGCAACAACGTGTCTGTTGGATCTTTAGCAAAATCTCCTATGGGAGAGACAGAATGGCACGTATAAAATTAGTCATTTATTTTAAGCTCCATGGTATTCAGGAAGGTATAAATTCTGCTTCCAACAAGCAGGAAAGTCATTAGGGTACTCAGACTTAACAGTACAGCAAGTAGAGCTCAGGAACTGGCTTGCACAGTGACCTCAGCTGTCCAAAGCACAACCCAGCCAACCTCTGCACTCCCAAATCCAGACTGTTTATAAATGGCTAAATTAATGTAACCTTCCCAAGCAAGATACAGGCGCTAAAAAAAGCCATTTTCATGGACAAGTAGAAGAGAGAACAGAAGGCTACAGGCTCAAACCATCAACTTGTCAAAGAACTTATCAATTGCTTCAAATTCTGCTATAATACTTGACGCCTTTCTTGTAGAAGAGCCTTCAGAAAATCCTTAAACAGCTTCTTCCAGAGCAATAGGCTTGTCCATACACTAGCCAAGATGTAGTGAAGGATGAAGGAATGAGCTGGCTGCCTTTCCACAAATCTCTGGAGTAGCAAAAAATGTCCCTAACCTTAGAAAACCAACCCCCTAGGATTTTCAGGATAGAAATAAAATGGGAAGAGTGACCTTCGGTGCAAAAGGGCAAACAGAATTTCAAATCCAGGCTGTGTAACAAACCTTTTGTTCTGAAACAATAAAACAGGAAAGAAAATGAATATAAAATAAATTTCTCGACTAAAGTTAAATACTAATGCAACTTAGAACAGAAGCTCCACAGTGTCCCAAACCAGTAACTGAAAAGAAGCCAGATCACAGGCCAGACAGAAATGCCTAATGAATGTTTCTACTTTTATAGTGCTGAAAGGCGAAGCAGGTACCCTCTTGCCCTAAGAGTCACTCAGTTTCTTAGTTGTTGGCTGAACACACTCCAGTTTTCAGGGATAAGTCTGATTTAAATTGACATGCAACAGGTAAGTAACAGAGGATGGGTTTTGGCACTCCCCAAATACATTACTAGGGCTTCTGGTATTTTTAAATGCCTTATCCATGAAGAGGCTAGTATAATTATTAAAATTGCATCTTGTCTTACTACAGGACAAGAGCAGAGTCAAGGAAAATATTTACATCATCATCTTTAATCTGAGTGATCCAATTGGAAATCTGCTACCCATCTACTCTAGAGCAAAAAGCCTGGAATTTGAGAGAAAAAAGTCAACCAACTTCCCTTGGAAAAACTGTTCCACACTTCGCATTATCTAGACAATAAAAAGCCAGCAATGATATATAAAAAGTCCAGATGGCTTTGCCAGTTCTTAAATCATATTGCCACACATCTGCTTCAACACTCATCAGCTGGGACAGCAATTCCATATGCCCTATATACAGTTACAGTGGCAAAGTCTGAGAGTTAAATGCTCTGAAGAGACACATTTTCTTGCTTACCTGATAATTTTAGAACTTTCCAGATCTCCTTGCATGCCTTCAGATGTTGAAGGGCCTCAGTCAAAAGTTCCATCTATTTTATAAAATATTCAAGATGTTATTTTTAGGTCATCATTTTAAAAGTGAAAGAAATCTGTATCTCAAATGACAGCAGCAAAGAGGTCTCTATACCTAGCTATATAATAAATGATGAACCAGCCTAATTAGTGCATCATCTAGACCAGTTATTACTGTGTGTTTTTTATTTTTCCAAAACCTCCAGATCTCAGACAAACCCTGTTCCAGAAAATGTTTAATTCCTGTAGGATATTGCTTATTTTTAGCTCTCAAACATAAAATAGTATAACTGAGACCAACAGACATCCAATTCTCACAAGTTACTGTGCATTGCTCTCTAGAAAAGCAATGAAACCATAACCTCCATATCCTCCTTCCCACAGCAAGTTCCAGAAAAAAGAGTGTGTACACATAAAAACGAGTTGTGAGTTTTATCCTCACCATATCAGTAACTATTTTCAGTAACTTTACAGTCCCACACATGCAGCAGTCATCTGTCTATTCAACCTATGTTTAGAACAGATTCCTTACATACTATGAAGTATGTGAACTCATTTAAGAAACTTAAAGGCTAAAACTCCTTTAAGAAAGGATAATAACAACCTGAGCCCTTGCTGATACAGATCTGTTCAGAACCTATTTACAGAAACCCATCATTTTCAATTGTCTAAAGAGCATTTAGATTATTGATTCTAATTAATTATGAAAGGTTCCCATACTAGGTATATTGATTCTAGTTAATTATGAAAAGTTCCCATACTTTCAACAATCTGTTCTGAACGAAACAACCAAGATCTTAGAATGAAAAGAAGAAAATGTTGAACTGAATGCTTATTTCATGGGTTTGTAAAGAATCAGTCAAAAGAACAACTTCTTACCTGCTCAGAAGGTGTTGTGTCCTGCTGTCTCCCCATTTCCAGATCAATTGCAGCTGCCATTAACAGGCACGTCTTCTGAGCAATCAGGACAGCTTTGTCAGAAGGACAAAACTGGGACAACTGAACCCAAAAATAGAAGTAATGAGAATTGTGCCTTTACAAAACAACATTGCTCCTAAACGGATGGTTGCTGAGTTTCACGTATGGCATTTTTAGTAATCAGTCCTAAAGAGCACATGCTCATATTGAAATACTGCTTGTATAATTAAACAAAAAGTTTGTTCAATTCCAAAGGTTGCAGCAGTGTTTGAGTCCATTCTGCAGAGAACATCTGCAAAGAACACAGTGCTGGTAGGTTCTGTATGGAGACTGGGACTTGAGCGTATCGTGGTGTAACACGTTCACACTGATGATACAGCTCCCAAACTTCATAGTTTTCTTTAGAAAGTTCTTTTTTAACTCTAATTTTAAATGACAGTTTAAAGCAACAAAATATGACAATAATGCTTAGATTTTTGTATAACAGGCCGATTTTCTTCTGACAAGTCTCCATGTATGTGATACATGGATGCAACTTCTCAAGGAATTAGATGGATGGCAGTATTCCTCAATCAAAGACACTATTAGTGAGAGTAAATACCTTGAAAGACAGTACAAAGAAATCCCTCATCTTTTCAGGACAATTCTGGAACTGTACAGCCAAGTTCCAAGCTAATAAAGGAAAAAATTAGAACAATAATCTAGAATTAAAACCTTCAATATGTTATGGGCTATATCCATTAAAACTCTAGTAAGAGGTGGTTTACACATTCTATGATTCAATTTCTTTAACAAAGTATTATCACCAAATCATTTAACAATGGCAAGAAATACCATTACTTGTGATCTGTTAACTAAACATACATGACTCATGCTTTCAAATCCTTTGTTTTAATGATTTTATCAAAATCAAGTATCCATTCTAGCACATACCCTCTCCACAAGAGCATGAAAGAAAAGTAGCACTTTCTTATACTGGTAAACACTATCAGAATCTGGATAAAAATGTTGAATAATATTACCAAACCAACCCCCCCAAAAAATTTCATGTAACCTCAGCAGGGTTATATAAAGGAGAAAATACACTGTAAAAATACACTGCTTAGCAGTAGATGAATCAGATGTAGCCCTCTAAAGACAACTATGTGATTTTTATGTATGAGAACCTGACCTAACTGTTTAGATTTTGCAGTGACTTTGTGGATTCCAACTTGCACATAATTTCTTCCCAGAGACATGTTTTCATGGTCTCCCTTAATCATTTATTCTGTGAGCCAGAATGTGGCTTTGGAAAGCAGCAGTCACCACAGATCAGCCCCGTTCACACTGCTGCTCGTTACTGTTGATCTCTGTCACTTCCCAATCTGTTATCCTCTGCTCATATATATATATATTTTTTCCATAGACAATGAATGCACTGGTGATACCCTTACCAAAAGGGGTGTAACAAAGGCTGCTGAATGAGAACCAGAGACACATTACGAATCTTGGCTGTGAATGCTACACAGCAGCTGCATTCATACCTGTGATAACACTTTTAGTTTATATTCATATGCACATGTGGACTGCTTATTTAAGGGAGTAATCAAGACTGCCTGTCTGGGTGGCTGAGTTAAGCTCATCCTGCACCACGACCAGGCCAGGCACTAATCATATTGCTGCACTGATATTGAGCTCTCATTTTGTCCACAATGAGAAGTGCCTACTCAGTATTTGGCACTAAGGTACTTTAGTACTTTTAGCAGTATTCCTTTCAGATACGGAAGAAAATCCTTTTTTATTTGCTTGATCTTAATTTGCAATTCTGTAGTACAGAGCAGAGTCTTGGTCAAAATTTTATCACGGACTTAGACAAGTCCCGTGGTGAATATGCACTAGCCAACACAATAGTCATACAGACCTTGTATGAATATTTGTCTTGGTAACTGATAACTGTCTTAAAGCATGAGACAAACAAGATAGTTTTGTACGACAGAGAAATACAGCAGAATTCTAAAACTAGTCAAGGCAGGGACTGTCAAAGTGCCAAGTTTTAGAAACCTGCTGTATCTTTAACACACTGTTTTCTTCCTTAACATCTGGCTGGATGGAGATGGAGGTGATTTAGTTCAGATTTGACAGTGAAACCTACCAACTTTTCTAAACCAGTGAGCTTCAAGGATCCTTCTGTCTCCTGTCAAATTCTCATCTGTGAAAGGCTCGGCAAGTCTCCTGTAAGCTGCAGAAGTTGTGTTGTTCAATAAATAAATAGCCTTCTCTGAGCAGAATAAAAGCATTTCCAAACACAGGAACTACATCTACAAAGCAGGTTCCCAAAACTTCCATATAATCCCCGAGGTTCTTCTCGCAACTTAAATCTAATATGCTTGACCAGAGAGGTTTGTAAAAACATCAAAATGTGCCTCAAGCAGCAATTACTGTAAGATATATAGGGCTGCCAACAAGTTTGCTCTTTCAAAAAAAAAAATATTGACACTGAAGGATACTGCAGAGGAGTTTTACTTTAATAGCACAAAAAGACATATTTCAAATATAACTAATTGGGGGCCTTTCTTCGAAGAATCACTATTTCATTCAGTTCAGTTCTTCACCATTTTCTCCCAGTCACTGCCAGAATGGCTAGCAAAAAGTTCTAAGATTTCATGAAACTTTGTTGTCTAACAAAGAAAGACAGAAGTGAAAAGATTTCATGTGGTTTAACATTTCAGTTGGAAAAAAGTCCTCTGGAAAACTCCTGCAGCTTTTCCAGTGCAAACAAGAAGATTCTTTTTTTAAAGGAGAGTATAACTAAAGTAGCCACCAATTCCTACAAGCCTCTCCTGTCTGTCAGCAATTTGCTATTATTCCTTGCAAATTTCTAAGCTGTCCCGAACAAGAAACAAACAAACAAACAGCTTTAATTTAATCTAAAAAAAATCCTCCCTTTTAGCCAGATAGAACAATAAAAAACACAGCACTTTGCATTTAATTAAGGCCAGCGTAAGTTCACACTGCTAATTCAGAGTACAAAACCAAACTACTTCCTTTTGTGGTAGCCCTGCTGCTCAAGATACTAACTTTGTTCTGGCCAATGCAGTCAGAGTATGAGACTGTCACTTGAGGCCACCCAGACGGTGGCCTGCACACAAGTATCTGTTGTTTGCATGTGTGGCCTTACAAAAGGCTCCTCTTTCCTAAAGCAAAACTGCCCAGAAGAAAAACCCTTTTGTCTGACAGAAGCTGCCAAGTACAAGTTCTACTAGAAATGATTCTTCCAACATGAGCCTGCAAGTCTGCAAAAGCAAAAACCTGCTTTTGCACTGAGGTCCAACTCTGCAACACTGATCTCCAGGTCTAACTTGGCTCCTAACTTTTACTGATTTTAGTCAGAAGTTGAGAGCCTAAACTGAAGAGAGTCTAAACATTTAGACAAACACATACCCAAGGTCAAGTAAGTCAGCATGGAGTCGATATCCTTATCTCTGAAATGGAAGGAAAATAAAACTTTAAAAGTTTCATTTATTTTCTCATGACAAAATACATTACTTATGATGGAATACACCAACCTGGTAATTATGGATACAGTTATTCTTTCCCTGACAGACTTTTAGTCATTAGAATCTTCTGGCATTTTAAGTCCTAAAGGAGAGGTGAAGACTTGCAGTAATTTTTTACTGATCTACAGTGGTGAAAAAAAATCACTGTAGAGGTGTAGCAGGAGACTTTCCCAGTCACTGGGGCTGCAAGGTAAACCAACTGTACCCTGTTTTTTTGTCAGTCAAAATAGTTTTCCTCCTCCCAAGTCAGCACCCTATTTTAAGTGGCTAGTCTTCAGCAAGGAAGAGCTCACACAGTTCTCACCCAGAACCTCTGAAAGGTATCTCCTCCTACTGTCAATAGGAGTTATTCAGTTCACATTCCCCATAAAAAATATCTGGCAGTCTCATGCATTAATGAAAGAGGAAGCAAAAAAGAAAGAATGTAAAGAAAAGGTTATACAAGAGGAAGAGATGGTCCCATGTGACGCCATTAGGTCAAAGCAAGAGGTGGGTGGATCTTTAACCAGCATAAAAATTAATCTCATGATTACCCTGTAAGAAAGGAAGTCCTGTATATACATATGTGCAACATATCTATCATAAGAAAACAGTTTTGTAAATGGACTCACCTTCTCTCTTTATTTTCTGCCATGATTTTTGACAACATAAGACGCACCAAACACCTAAATATGAGAGAAATGAACAATGACAAGTCTAAAAAATATATAATTCACAGGACTCAGAAGTGTCGCATAGAGAATAAGATTATCCTATTTCCCACCCTTTTGCCTTATTCAGTCTACCTCATTTTGCCTACCAATTAAATAATAAGTAAACAAATGTACTTTGAGAAAAAACTTTAAGGAAATGTTGCAAGAAATATATTTGTTTCACAGTATTTGTTTTTATAGAAGTGATAGAACAGTTTAACAAAATACTGCTTGATCAGAGGATAAAAAGGAAATGGTATTTTTACCAGGTACACTGTTGCCATCTCATTTAAGTCATCTGTCATGGACACATCACAATATAATCATAAAATGCAGAGCTACAAATACCACCTTCTTGGGGGAAAGCTAAAATATCTGCTAGATGCTACAATTAAATAGATGCTACAGTTCAGGACTGAGGTAAACCTGCAGCACCAAAAAAACCCATGAACTAATCTCTGAACTACTCTGTTCTGTCTTCCGCCTGACTATAAATTCTTAAAAAGGAAAAAAAAAAAATCCTCTTTCCTTGAAAGTATCTCAAATTCTTACTTTAATGCTGCAAATATTTGCTGGCAATCTTGTGAACGTTCAGATAAATACTCCAGAGCTTTGATAGCCACAACCTGCTGTTCATTCTGAAACCAAATAAAAACATGCTTTGTATAAACCATGCTACACCAGTTAGCACTCTCACAAAAACAAAACAAAAAAGAAAAAAGAAGGGGAAAAAAAGCATTTTGAGCACTTTGGGAAGGTCTGTGCAGCCTATTGGTCTATTTACCAGGAAAGACCAAAGGACTCTGCACAGAACATAACCTCAGAGCCAAGAAAAAAAGAATGCAGAGAGGTCATATGATGAACAAAGAGCCGATGGGAAGAAATGGATCATTGCATTTTGGCAAAGGTTTCATGCTTCAAAATGCTGTACAATGCCCTAAAAGGCAACCCAAAGTCTTCTATTTATGCCAATGTAATCCGCCAGTTCAGGCGTCACTCAGTCACCACCCGCAGGCAAACAGGAGGGACAATGGATTTTTCAGTCTCTTATTCCTGCACATTTTGCAGACAGGTTCCCCTAGCACCTCAGAAAGCAAAACTCAGAGGCTGGAAAAAAAATGTATCTTTTTGCTGAGGAGAACTTGATGGAAATGTACCACATAATTTCCAGCTGCCAATATTTACAACTTAGAAACCTTTATTTTCCTGAATAAATCAATCTATTTTCATGGGAAACCACTTTCTCCTTTGTTTCACACACCAATTGGACTACTCACAGTAAGACTTTGGTCCCTGAAGCTTGAAATACTTAGAAATGCATGAAATACCTAGATACCTAGAAATACCTAGAATACCTAGAAATACCACAAATAGGAGAGCTGTCTGTCTTATTAAAGAAAAACAAAGATAACGTCACCTCTAAAGCAATTTGGGCAGCCAAACTCAGGAGGTCAGTGCCTGTGTTTCCATCCACTAAGAGCCTGTCTTCATGCTGAGACTCCTTTTCTGCCAGCTTCCCCATTGCAATCACTGCTTCCACAGCTGCCACAGACGTAGGGAAAAAATAGTGAAAATTTTGGTAGAAGTAGTTGAAGAGGGAAGTTCTACACTTTTAACAAGGCTTTTTGGATGACTTATGAAAGGCTACAATCCTTTTCTTTTTAATATGAAAAAATAAGATTAAAAAAAAAAAAATCCTGACCACGCCAGCTCTTTTCCACAATTAAGCATTTCTTTACTAGAGAGGTGCCAAAAAGGCTTTCCAAGCTACTGATCTAAGGAAATGAGGATGTCAAACAAATGCAACTATCTCACATCCTTAATTTTGTTCTGCTAAATATCTGTTTGTCACCGAAGACAGAGGACTTTCTCTAATACATGGTCTGGGCACGGTTCCAAGCTCCCACATCTTGGCTCATGCTAAGTGTACTGCTGCTTTTATGTTCACACTGTGCTGCGGTTCCCACTCTACATTATGTGAACAAATTACGCTGTCATTAAAAAGATGTATAGAGAATAATTAACTGCCACAGAATTCAACGGAAAATGTTCTATTTATAAGCCCAGCATGTTACTCTGCATTCTAAATAAGTACAGAGTATATTCACCAATTTTCATTATTTGAGCTGAGATTCTCATTAAAATATGAAATGGCAGAATTCATTGGAAAGAGTCTACAGAGATGTTTCATTCTGCGATTTGCCTTCATGTTCTTTCTGGTAACCTTTCTCACTAACTGATGCCTTTTGTTAACTTCAGGCTCTGCTTGACCAGAGAAATTGAGAGCAGCAATAATGGTTCAGTTCAGGCCCATCTAGCTCAGTACCCTGTTTCAACAGTACATGCTTAGAAAAGAGCATTAGAAATAGTAACTATAAAATCATTCTTGCCCTGAAATGCTACTTCAGCTTCTGCCAATGAGATTAGAGACTTCCTAGGCTCCATCCAGAAAACATCCAGCTGTGGCAATGAACTCCACAATTACATTCTGTTTGCAAAACGTATACTCCTTTGGCTGTTTTAAAGCTATAGCCTGACAGTTTTGGTAGTTGTCCTTTCAATATTGTGTTTCTCTGTGTTATGAAAGAGAGTAACTAAACACTCTTGAATCTCCTTCTCCATGGCAGTCACGATCTCATAGACCCTTCTCCCCATTATGTCTCTGCCAAGATGAACAGGCCAAATCTGCTTCGCGCTTCTGCTCCTTGTTCAAGGCTAATCTTTATTGAAATAGAATTAAAAATTGTATGTAGCTGAACTGTGAATTTTACAATGGCCTGGAAATGTCCCTCTCCTGCTTTCTACTTATTTCCTTTTAATTCTAGTATTCTACTTGCTATTTAGGATCCTCAGCCACAAATAATTGAAGCCTGGGAAAGCACTCAGCAGGACATCATATGCTTGCCCTATTTTTACAGCCTTCCCTAGATCCACACACAACTACTGCCAAAACAAGGATATTGGGCTTTGGTTTGACCTAGTTCATCTGCTCTCACTCCTATGCTCCTAGCTGCTCTTGGGAACTGAGCTAACATTTTCAGAGAACTAGTCACAGGAAGTATGAGATTTTTCTTTGGGATTATTCTCTAACCATGTGTTCCGGTCTGCACCACAGAAATTAGTTTCATTTGACAAGATTGGGCCTTGATAAATTCATGTCTCCTATTCACCCACTTGCTGTATTATTAGTGCTTACAAATCTTTTCATGATTCCAGAATTTTCCCAGGAAAGGAAAGAAAGCTGGCTGGCCTCTAATTCCAGATGTCCTACTTTTCACTCTTAAAAAAAGCATTTTATTTGCCCTTTACAACTTTACTATCAATGCAGGAGTCATGTAGACATCATATACAGCTTGTAAAGAAGTTGCCTGTTTGTTTTAATAAGAATACAAACATATATGTAAGCTTAACAATGTCGGTATCAGTTGAAAAAATATATGGGCCTAATTCTAGCAATTGCAGAGGAAAGAAGTTACAGAATAAACAGAGCAGTCTTGAAAGTTGATTACACTATTTAGAATACCTGACACGAGAAAAAAATGGACACGCAGGGAGAGTGATATTAAATCTCAACTGAAAAGTAGAAGAGGGGACATCTACAAAATTCTGGAAGAATGAGCACAGAAACAAGGAGGCAATGGGAGCTCAGGACTGGTAAGATTTTAAGGAGAGAAAAGGCAACCAGTAGAGTAAGAAGTGAGAAAGGTACCAGGTAAACTGAAATACAGCTCAGACTGTTCTAACAAAAAGAAATGGTCAGAAGCGAAGCACAAAACTGGGAGATACCATGAGCAGCAGGCCAAAAGAGATACTGTTTCTAAAAGCTAAAAGAAGCAACCAATTACTCATGTTGAGACAGATTATGCTTATCATTACTTCTACCTTTGTCAGTATTATTTTCCAGCACTGCAATCTTATAGACACTAAATTGAGTAAAAATGCTGTTTGGATCACACCTCTCTGCTTCTTTCACTGCCTCTTTAGCCTGTAACAGAGAATATAACAATTCAATCCAATGATATCTTGATATCTAGGAATCAGTAATAGATGTTGCCAGATGAGAGACAACTATACAACATTTTAATGACTGTCATTGATATTTATGCAATTTCTTAATAGGTTTGGTTTGGCAGCATCCTCCCTGGAAGGAAAACGAGAGTGACCAGCACAGGACCCAAAGGTTGACAATGACACAACTGCTTCCTCAAACTCAGAGTCAGAACATGAGAGACACCCTGAAGATTTTGAGAAATTTAACTCCCTTCTGTTACTTGGAAGTGTGCAGTACAAGAGCCCCAAACCAGAGACCTTTTAGGGAAAGCAACTGCCTTTCTTCACTGCAGAGGTAAGGGCAAATAAACTGTTGTGGGATGTTCTAGCAGTAAAACTCTTTTCCTGCTAGGGCTCATTTTCTTAGAAGAGAAAAGAGGTTCTAATCTGAGAAGAAATCTAATATACAGGCATGATCACAAGACTTGTGAATGGTTCCTCTCACTGGAATAACAGATGGTACAAGAGAACCCAGTAGCATCTAAGATAAACAACACCTCCCTGTCCATCATGTAAGGTAGGCAAAAACAGTTCCCTCTTCTCAGGGCAGAAGAGGTACAGCAACAAGGAGGTAAACCAAGCCCAAATGGTGTAGATATAACAAGAACAAAGGAAATAAATACATATATATACACACACACCTTATCAAGCTGTTTCAAATGAAGATAGCAAGAAGCCATGTTCCTCTGCAGTTTAGCCAGATTCTGATCTATCTGCCCAGGTGTGTAGAAGCTGGCAGAGTAGTTGTACCACTGAAGAGCTTCAGAATAATTTTTTGCCTATTAAAAAAAATCCTTAATGAAGGAATGAAGATTTTAATAGATTTGGGAGTAAAATTTCAATACTAACACAACAAGATGCTGAGAAGCTGGGTGGGCAATCCAGGCAGCAAAGAGTTACAATTTCTGGTGGGAATTAAGCATGTGTCGTGTAGCAAACTGCCAAAGTCAATTGATGGCTCCCGGGCAAAAAGCGCATGCCGACAGTTCGCTTTGCAATTAAAGTTCATCAGGAAAATATTTTCAGTTTCGACGTTTTAAACGGACAAGCCTGGAGCCTGTTGAATGACAGTGTGTGGTCTTTCAGCTCAAAAATCTATGCCAGCCCCATTAGAAAAGGGAGTATCCTTGCACTCTCCAATTCAAAAATTACTAACCTACTGCAACATCCACTTTCTGCTGTGGTACAAAATGAAGTTTTTAAAGTCATAATGTATTTGGAGAAACAACAAATTCTCTCTCCAGAGCCCACTCCCCATTTAACTCACTTGTCTGTCCAGTTTGGAAACAAGATGGGAGGCGGCATTTAACAATTCACAGCAGTGCCTCTAAAGACTAAAATGTTCAATGTAAACAGTTCAATGTAAAGCATATTTTAATATTTTTACATCCTTCCCTAGACAAAACCACAATGATGAACTGCATAGGCCCTTTGGCTGATCCATTCTGGTCATGACAGTGCGTCCACATACAACCCCTGAGATAAGACTACATGAATCTTATGGCTGTAATGGAAAAGAGCATCCAGATGGATGAAAATAAAAGTAGCTCCCACTGGGAACAGGAATCTGAACTCATCTTTTAACCAAAAACAAACATACCAAAACACTCAGGAAAAGCAATTCTATATTTTCACTAATATGGATAAAAACAACACTACTTGGTCTCAAACCTCATATTTTTTGGCAGCTCTATCCCACAAAATGATATGCAGCTGGTTCAAGTTTTCAGGCAACAGCTGTTTCCCAGTATAATGACCTGAAAAGATACTGCAAATCAGCATTTTACAAGAACTTTAAGCAGCACAGGGGGAAGTACCTAAGAACTATCTGAGAAAGACTGGTCCACAGCTAAGAAACACTGATACTGCAATAGCTTCAGCCAGGATCCAGTGTTTCACATCCTGTTTCTGAAAAGAAAAAGCAGTGAGCAAAAGAATAAGTATTTTCATACTTGAATGATGACAGTATGCCTCTTAAACCTATATTTAGATGCTGCATAAAATACTGTCTGATTTCCAGCAGTCAGAGAATATTTCAGTGCAGAAGCCACTAAAAAGGGATCTGTAATTCAGCCACTCAAACAAGGTTAAGCAACCTGTTTTAATACAAACTAAAGAATGCTGTCCTGAATAGACCAAGTATTAACATTACACAGATTTTATAGCGAATGTTTCTATTCCCACACATATTGGTCACACAGAGGCTACATTGTGTGTACAGCCTGGCCTAAGAAGGAATAATTGTTCTAGCAATTGAATTCACCCTGAGCTCAACCACGATTGTCATGATTGCCACAGGAGTTCAGAGTCACCATACAATAGAAACAGTAATGAAAAAGAGACACAAATAAAATGAGACTAAATAAAGAAAAATGGAATTAAAGACTTAAAAGAACTAAATCCAGCTTTTGGCAAAATATGGGTACAGACCTATAATAATTTCTTCAACCTTTTGCTTGGCAAGCAGCTCCCTCTTGTTCTGCAACAGGAAGTCAACGTGGACTAGGGCGATTCTTCCAAGGTCGGGGGAAGATTCAAATCGTTCAGCAACAGATTTTAGAAAATCAAAACCAACTGATTCCCTGTTCAACAGATGCATTTTTAAGAGGCTGTACAGAAAGAGCTGATAATTTTCAATTCTAAAGACTAATGTATTCACACCATCCAGCATGCTTCTCATTAGTGCTATTGACACATAGTCACATTAAAACAAAGTCAAGATACAGATTTGCTGCAGATCATCTATTCAGAAGTAACTTCCTATGAGCTCATGCTGGTTCCACAACATTCACAAGAGAGTTTAACCCTCAAAATGAAAGAATAAGAATTTACAGCAAGGTAAGAGTGTATACATAGGTAATCATGGTGGAATACCTGACTAGGTGAAATTTCATTTCTTTCTTTATAGCAGCTTGTTCTTCCTTATATCGCTTTTCATAAGAAAGATTCTAGGAGTCTACTCTTTCATTCTGAGGGTTAGTCAGCCGATATGAAAGATCATTTCTGACCCACAATATATATTAAAATTGCTCAAGGACAATCCTGATCATTCCAAAGCAAGACTGTGGTAGTGCGGATCCCCACTCAGCCTTATATGACACCCTGTTCTGCAGCTGTCATAATCTGTGTCACCTTGGTATGGAAAGGACAGGCTGGTTCTCAAAACTGTTGAACTATCTCTGTCAGTTTTTATTTAATACAAGGCTTCACCATGTAACAAGACGTCACCTTGGTATGGAAAGGACAGGCTGTTTAACTATCTCTGTCAGTTTTTATTTAACACAAGGCCTCATCATGTAACAGGAGTTCTTCGTCATCTTTTTCTTGCTAGGCTTAGTGGCCAAAGTATTTCTCAGCCTTTCTCTCTCCCAGCAAACATACAAAAATTTATTAGTATTATATAACAACAAAAAAGTATAGTATTACAAGGAATGCATCGAGTTCTACAACCCAATGTACAATCTGTTCTTTAAAGGCAAAGACTTGTCAGGCTCCCAACTGCACCAATAGGCCTTAATTGCCCTGACAAGCCCCATCTGTGACCCACACCCACATCTTCTTGGTGTTCAGGAGCTCTGTTTAAGCCCTGAGCTCATGCTCCCATCCTTCCCTGAGCTATCTCATCAGTGCAGCTGGCCCCTGCACTGTCTCCTGGAGAGACACGTAGGCCCTACATTGCAGACAGCTTGTCTCCAGTTCTGTCTCTTGACTGAACTCCCTGGATGGACCCTGGATCTGGTTCATCACTCAGCCGTGAATGCTGCTAGTGGCACCCTGCTCTGCCTGCTGTGTCCTGATGCTGGGGGACTGGCTCCTTCCTGGTGAGCTGCTACAAGCACCCCTGGCTCATCTTCCCTCCTGGAGCAGCCCTGTGCTTGCTGCTTCCTGACAAGGTTATTAAATCCTCTGCACACTACCAGTTGTTCTTTATGATTTGTATTATTTACTAATTCTCCCTTTTTGTTATGTCAAATGGGTTGCTATTAGTTACAAGTGTTCAGATACACTGGATAATGCTATTTCTTTCACATAGGTTACTTGAGTATTATCTTGCATATATTTAAAACATATGTGCACACACATATGTATTTATATATATATATATATATGCTGAAAAGCCCAAATACTGTGTTTGTTCTACCTAGCAACGCTTTCATACCTTCCATGTTCCAGCAGCAATTTGGCAGTATTCAAGCAGGAGTCTAAAGACACCTCACGGTGCAGGAATTCTGCAAGAGCTAGACAGAACACAGCACAGTTGAAACTATTCAGTTGTCTTAAAAGCTTAGCTGCTTACTTTATGGTATTACAGCCTCTTAAAAATATGTAATAATTCTAAAACTAAAGAAGAATAAGACTTCTTCATTGTATTTTGACTTTCCTTTCTTCCCTTCACAGTAAATTTAGTACTACAGCTCTGGAATTGCAGTCCTCTGTCTCTTTAAAGCAGGAACAGAATAGGCATTAATAGCACAAACTTTTGCCTCAAGCTGCTCTCTAACAATAGGTCTCATCCTGATTTAAATGGAACCACTTAAATGACTGAGGGGAGTGCTCAGGCTATTGGGTTTGCATCACACTGCAACTGGAGTTACATAAACCTACTGCCTGTAGCATCAGTAACCCTAGATAATGCAAAATGTTTGTTGAATTGCCTGGTGCTCATAGGTAGGTATCAGTTTTGGATCACTTAGCTTAAGTTTAAAGATTTTTAAATTGCTTCATGGTTTAATCAGAAGATTTAAATAATGGTAACTTTGATAAGTACTACATAGAGACACAATTTTAACAGTTGACAAAGGGAGCATTTCTATGGCACCTGTGTATTCCTAAGCAATTTTAACTGTACAAAAGAAGATTTTAGTCAAATCCCTAAAACTTAGCAGAAACCTTTATTCAAAAGAAAGAGAAATTACAGTGCATAGACACCAGTCTCATTTCTGCCAGTCATCTGTGAAAAGGTAGACATCCTGCTTAGGTAACTAACTGGGCAAAAAAAAAATGGTTTGTTGCTTTACAAATACTTGTTATCCTGTTTAAAATATGACTGGTGTCTTATTTCTACCAAAATATAATCAGAGCGTGTTTTGATGGGCAAGACTATGACAGAACAATTCAGGCTGCAAAAAAGAAGCTGACTACTGCAATGCTAAACTTTGAGTAACTGTCCACTTGAAAGCTGGCTGAGATTCCCCAGCCTCTGTCTGAAGTGGAATTTCCATTCCTGCCCCTCTGGCAGCACTCAAACCATCCGCTTCTGTGCAAAAAATTCCTTACCTTGTTGTATATTTATGTCTCAGAGCAACCATCATTTATCTTATGCTTTCCAACTAAAAAGACCATAAAGTCTCTCTATAAGATTTCGCTATTTAGGGAAATTAGGTCTGTCTGAAGCACTACTCTATCTAGTCTAAAATCTCCCTGAAAACTTTCTTCTTCTGTCACATCAACATCAATTCGCTTCAAAGGATAAGCTTAAGGAACATGGGAAGAAGTCTATATGCCCTATACGAACCAAAGAAGTTGTGATAACACAGGTTAATACTAACACATTAATATCCACTTGGCCTCTCCTGCCCACAACCTGCACTATCACACATGCACGACAGCCTTTCAGAGGCCTTCCTATCATGCAGACTGTGTAAGAGACAATTCACTTCCAAATTCTTTAAGTTGTCTTAGGCCCTAGGTCTAAAATCAATCACTGTCTTCACTCAAAAAGCTTTCAGGGTCTTTCCCCTTCCCAGCAAACATATTTGATCTCTCATAAAGAAAAAATGAAATAAACTTGTGTTTAATTCAAATTGACATCAACTTCTGCATAACTCCTAACTTAACCCTGACTACAGTGGCCTACACTCCAAAACCAGGATTGTAACAGCTAATGGAAAATCCTCTAAAACAGTTAGAGGTTAGAGGTTTTTTTTTTTTTAATCCTTAACTCAGGCTGTCTTCTTGGATATGGAATAGTATGACCTTACTATGAAACCTATGCAGAACTATGTGATACCTGCTTTGACGTCTTCGTCTGATGCTCTACTTTTAAGAAGAATTTTAACTTTCAAAAAAAACCCTGCTGGATGCAAACGCTCCTGCACAATGAAAAACAATAAATTACTTAGCTGTTTGTTGAATACAGATCCTGTGAGAGTCCAGCGCATTCGTAACATAGAAAAACATCACAAAATTGTATATGCTCCCTTTCTTAATGACTCCCATTTTAACAATTGAAGCAATAGATAAGAAAAAATTAAGTTACTCTAACTTCTGAAGAGACAGAAGCATAAAACTTCTCCCAGTCTTCATATTGGGAAAGGAATGTGTATGTGTGCAACATTTTATCAAATATTTTATTATATTGAAGACTGTGGTAGTAACTGGCTATATTATATCTATATATCTTCATGCTAGTTGGCACAGCACATTTTTCAAGTCTCAGAGAAATAGAATCAATCACATTAATGAAGTGTTATAGCTAAATTAGTTATTTGAAATAAGGCTGATGTCGTGTGGCTACACAGCTTCCAAAACTCAAGCTATCTGGTACTTGCTCAAACATATAGACAAATAACAAGATAGAGACTCAAAACATAGTGTGGACGTATCCGTTGTAGCCCAGAAGCAAAGGAAAAGTTTGGCACATAAAATGAGGTGCTTTAAACCTTAGATGAACCTCACTGAAGTTTATTCTGTTTGTACAATTTCCACTATCAAATAGAAGCACAGAGAAGCAAGACATCTACATGTGCACACTCAGCAAGACTTCTCTACAAAGAAAGCTGCCAACCCCAAAACATTGTTATGAGTTTGAAAGCTAAAGCAAGGGAAATACACCTCAGTCCCTAGCTTATCTGATCTCAAGGATACTCTACCTGTGATTAATATGTTCCATATGATTATGTTAATAAAAGTTTGAGTTTTAATTACTGCACACCTTAACTACTGTAGCACACTATTACCTCATTTGCCAAGTTTATAGCTTTCAGTGCCTTGTCAAGGTACAGATTGCAGTCCCACTCCAAATAGGCAGTCGCTAATAATCGCAGCACTTTAGCCTGGAAAGAGGGAAAAAAAAAATACCTATTAAACTTCATCTGAACAGGAAGAAAAAAAACACCCATTAAGGTTACCAAAAGTCTTAAAACTAAGGATATGAAAAATAAAATCTCTCTGAGTCAAAGAAATGCCTTCAAAGCCTTGTTTATGCCTGGTACCAGACTTCTGAAGTGACTGCTCTACTCCAAAGCCTCAGCAGTAATGCTGGGTCCATTCTTAACACTGCAATCCAAACAACCCCAGTTAAAGGAGAGAAAAGAGTAACAAGGAAAATCAGAGATCTGGATTCTAATCTGTAACTGGTTTATATAAGGGGAAGCAAATAAAATCCACTCTATATCCACTGTGGGTAGCACTAGCAGTAATGGGCTTATGAACAAGACAGACAGATCCATCAGAAATGACACAGCTGTAACAGCTGATGCCTTGAAAGAAGAGGGAGAAGGAAAAGATACATGACCTCTAAGGGTCTGTTTCGGTCTTACTTCTTCTATAGTATAATCTCTGTGAAATACTATATTCAGAAGTGATTAAGGGCACTCAGTAGTGATTCAGTTTTAAGCCTGACGCCCACAGCAAGCACGCTTGCCACTTTGCCAGACTTCACAGCAGACAGTGCTAAAGAAAAGGCCAGAGAAACACTTGTCAGGTTTCACACAGTAGAGGCAAACGATGCAGTGGGTCTCATCAAACAAAAATCTCCCATTATTCTGTTTCTTACCTGCATTTCTTTCCCAGTAGAATATTTCGCATCCATCTTCCCAATTTCATAACTCTGGCTACCAATGATAAGGGAAAGTTATAATTAATTTGGTTGACAGATAAATTCAGCCAGTTTTCTGATATGTGCAACATTCCTATCCCATTTCACAGCCATTAGAAGCCACCTAAATCACACCACCTAATTTCAGTTCTCATTTTCAATGGGGAACACAGGTTTATGCTTTCTCTCTAAATCTTCACATCAAAAACTGTACTTAATCACTTCAGCCTCTTTAGCATCTTCTATCCAACCATTTCAGCAGTCTTTATCATTTTTAACTAACTAGGCTTTCTCACTTGCCATACAATAATCATACACAAATTTATATATTACTTGCTCCCTATATTACTGCAAGCCAGTAGCAGTCATAAACAACCTGGGAGTCATGATTATGCCCTTTTTTTTTTTTCCTCCTAAAAGTTATATTACAGCATAGAAAATCACCTAAGAGAAAACAACAATTCAAAAAGAGCAGCTTGGATTTCAAATTTTGCAAAAAAAGAAAATCTATTAAAACAAAAAAAGGAAAGAGAATAAAGAGAATGACTGGCTGTTTACTTCCTAATCTGATACATCCTCGGTACAGAAAAATCTTAACCCACTAGATGGAGCTAAATCTCTTTGTCCAGAAAAAAATATTTGCACTTTGCAAAGGTGAATTTCCTCCTCAAATGTTGTCATGAGTATGTCAGGACTCAGGATTTAATTTTCCATAAGAACAGAATAAAAAGAACAATTTTCAAAGTTATAATTAAGTATTTCTACAAATCCTCTTTGATAATGTGTGTTACCATGAATATTCTGAATGAGATGTGAAATCATTTGATTTCTCGGTTAATCTAAGTATTTAAAACAAAAGGTACAAGAAATAAAAACAAACTTTGAGCCAAGTTATGTCCTTGGCATGAGGATATTCTTCCTGATAGCATATTTTTTTTTATTCCTAAATACCATGTCACTCATTTGGATCCTACCCAATTCATCTATGATTATTTATTTTTCAATTTCAGATTTGAAATGCCCCCAAAATCTGCAAATAATTGGTACATTGTCACTTTGCCAAAATAGACAGATTTTACTCATTTCATTTTTTTCTCTTAAGCAAATCCCTTCAGTGCTTTAATTACTTTTGCTGCAATTTTCTGATTTAGTGAATCCACCTAGAAAAGATTTTTTAACAAGTCTATAAAGGTCACTGGGAAGAAAATAAACACGTTTGCCAGGTTGTGCAACTGCTGGAACCACTGCTGCAACCCAGGAAAATGGGCAAGAGCACTGGAGCAGAGAGAACTCCTGCCTAACAAAGCTGCCTTCAGCAGCTCAAGGACCTGCTCTCAGTGACTCACCTCTTTCTGGAAAAATTCAAATAACATCTAAAACAAATTTATTTAAAACTGGCCAGAAGGTTACCTCTACTCTTTTCTGAAGCTCTCAAATCCCTTCACTCTTGTATTATAAATGGCGCAATTGCTGGGAACAGGCCCTTCCTAGAAGAAATCTCTTTGGAAGAAGTAGTAAGGTGAGAAAGAGGAGTGGTAAGGAGGAAGCATGGATATGATTTCCACATGAAAATAAATCTTTCAGTCTAGTGACCTGAGAACCTATATGAAGATCAGTCCTAAATGTCAAGCAGCAGACTAAAGAATGTGCTGTAAACTTGTAAACGAAACAATATCACAAAAGGTAAGTACTTGCCTGGCCAACTTAGTTCAGGTAAATTCAGCATTCTCATACCTACATTTTTCAATAAACCTCTATCTTCCCTTGTTTTCCTTTTCCTTCACATGTACTCACATCTCAAAAGCCAGATTGTTTGACTTTCCACACTACCTGAGCCAAAAGGAGCTCTGTTCATATTTCTTCCATTCATAGGTTTCCACGCCGAAGTTGTAACAGAGGATTGATAGGTAACAGGTCTGCAATAAAGACAGTCCTTCCATAAAGATCTTGCAAAAAACTTCTTCAGATGTACGTCATTCCTGTCTCGGGTTTTTTAAAATGCTTTTTACTTTACTGTTATCTACCCCATCTGACCTTATATGAGTGTAATTGGAACATAAGCAAAATGGAATCATGTTGTTCTGCAGGAAAGTGATGCAACATTAACCAGCCTCTCCAGGACACACATGTAACAATGGAATTCTATACACACGATACAGACTAAATCCTCAAGAAATCAGACTGAATGCACTAGAACTGTAAAATATAAATAATAAAAAATAAAGAAAAAAAAAAGTCTAAAACTTGGGTATTAAAATATAATTTTTAGAAGAAAAATCACCCAAAAATCTGACTCTCATGGGCTCTCATAAATGCTCTAAAACTAATTTTGCTTTTACATTGTTGATGAAGAGGATTCTGCCTCTTCCACATCAGGCTTTTTCCCAGCATGTCTCTGCTGGATTAAAAAGGGATCGTCTGTATTACAAGTTCAGGAGAGCAAGGGTTCTTGTTTAGACAGAGCGCTTCTGGCTTTTACTTTACCTGTCAGCCCCACTACAGTGTCTGTTCATAACAAGTTGTCTTCCCACTGATGATTTTCAACTGTCATAAGTTGTCCAAAAAGGAGACTGAAAAGCTACTCTAAATGCTAATTGGCTGCTAATATTTTATATCCATTTACATCCATAAAAGCTACTTCTCGCAGCAAACTAAGGTTAGAATTTCAAACCCCCGAGCAAAAATGAGACAGGTAGAACAATGTTTTGCCTCAACAATTTTATTTCAGGCCTCACTGTAGTCCAAAGACAAAAGTACAAGCTTACTATGCATGAAAAATAAAATAATCCATTCAGAGAGGAAACCCTTATTTTTCCCAAGTTTAATTGCGAACTTGGGGAGTTTAAGAATTTAGTGCATTGAGAGGGCTGCATGTAAAATATGTAAGGTGTTTAACATAACACTGCAGGTATACTGGGGCATAGCTCATTCATAATCATTCAAAAAAAAAAGGAAATATGTCAAATAAAATGCTGGGATTTTTTTCTATTTTGAGTGATAAACTATGAGCAAAAGAAAAAAAAATGGACTCTGAACAAAAAAATACTGTTTCATGCAAAATTTTTACTACAAAGACAGAAAAAAAAGACACAGAAGAAATATACAAAGAATTCTCAAATATTTTTCAAAATTTTCCATTACACATGTGTCTTCTTAACATAAAGAGAGGAAAATATATTCAAACTTTGGAAAGACACAGAAAGGATGATTTCACTAACCTCTTTTGGCAATCTCATCAACATATCTTTGCAGCGCTGCACACACATCACTGCTTTTTGAAAATCTCCTTGAGCGACCGCCTAGGAAAGTGGAACATGTCAATAAACTGTTAGTGAACAATCTATCTTAAAAATTCATCAGCATGCTGATTCTCCACAAAAAGGATTTAGGCCCTTCAAGGAAAACATGTCATGGAACACACTATTTCCAAATCTTATGATTTTATACCAAATTCTCTCACTATTAAAAGCTTTTATATGTGAACACCAGCATGTGCAAGTTCATGGGGGAGAGGGTATCCATGCCTGGAAAGACCTTCATCTCATGGCACGCAACATTTGGTGATGCTGTTCGTGACTTTGCAGAATCAAGAAAGTTGTTTTAAATTACAGAAGACTTTGCATGTGTAGCTTATAATACCTACTCGTAGATATTAACCTCAACTACCTACAGTCATGATGAATCCTGCATTCATGTCCTTGTCAGTCAGTCAGTCTGTCCGCAAAAACCAGCTCAGTGTGATGAGCATTCTCAAATGACCATTCATGTTGTGTATATGTTACCCTACTGCACATATACGGGGACCCGTGCTCTAAATCTATCTTATCTATCGCTCCTTCTTCAGTCAAGCACAGACCACCTTTGGAACTGACACGTTTATGATTCAGAAAGGCAGCTGTTTGTTTCATAAACACTCCTGCGAGTTAAATCACAGGACTTTGGAACTGACACGTTTATGATTCAGCTGTTTGTTTCATAAACACTCGTGCGAGTTAAATCACAGGGCAACAAATCTGAACTAGAGGATAGGAACAACACGGCAGAAATGACTGAGATAAATTAGGCAAATTAAAAATTATTAAATTATTGCAACACAGAAGGCAAACATCAGATCTGAGATCTTACATCTAAGAGCTCTAAGGAAATATATCCTTCAGCAAGTCTTCAACGCCAAGCATTTATAGGTCTAATAATTGGGTCAGAGTTCCCCCCTACGCTCCTAGTGACTTATAAAGAAAGTTGAGAAAAATAGTTACTGATTCAGCCTGATAAGAGAGCACTTTGAAGAGGTCCTTCTCCACATCAGTTTTGTGCACATGAATATCTGCTTCATCATTACTCCTCTTAAGCAACTTTGCATACAGTTTTTCTATACTCTGGAAAACAAAGACCAAGTATCACTTGTGGAACTTATAAATAGGTATGTTTTTAAGAAACTAAAACCAGAAAATAACTTACCCCCATGGCAATCTCTAGAAACTCATCTGCAAGTTCAGCTTTTCCTATATCTATCCATCCTTTCCCAGTTTTCATAGACATCTGAAGGAGAAAACGATATGTGCTTTGTGAAAAGTTAGTAGCTTTCAAAAAAGGGCAGCGTCAGATTTCATGTTGTTGAGGCACAAATCTAATGTAGGAGAGGGGTATTTCAGCTCCCCAGCTTGTGCCACGTGCCCTTCACATTTGAATGAAGGCCTGTACATTCAGATGCAGCATGTAGGACTTAGAATTTCCTTCAAAATACGACTATGTGATACTGAAATAAACGAAGATGATGCTCTTGTAATATTTTATTACATCATGTTACAATGCATTATTGGCAAATTCGTAATTGCGGTAGCTCAGCAAAGTATCTCTTTGATAGCACGGGCCCACCTTCAGTATGGATATCCCTCTGAATTATATTCAGACCTATCTTCTAAACAATTTTAACAGGCTTTGAAGATTTCCCTTGATGATCCTCTGTACTTCCCTCGCTCACCTGCCATTATTTCTCTTACCAAAATTTGTCTTCGAATAGTTCCCTCCGGAGGATCATTGCCTTCACACAGGCACACCAGCCTACATGCAACAAATCTCACTGCAGGAGAACAGTGCAGACATTTGTAAGCTCCCATTACTCTGTAGCTTGTTTGTTTGATTTTTTTTTAAGAATGTCAAGCCTTACCTATCTGAAAGACTGTTTTCTGTTTAGAAATCACAAAAGATAAAAAATTCGAAAGCTTCGGGGGTTGAAGCAGTTAGTGGTTTTAGCCAAGCTAGTTACACTCTTTTTTAAGCATCGAGGGAAAAAAAATCTCTTCAAAATGCCTAATAAACTCCCGAGAGAAAGTTTAAGTGGAAGACAGTATTCAAAAACTTAATTGCATTGCAGGTGCTGACAGTAACATGTCTTGAGAGCCTCAAAATAGCCCTTGGCAAAATAGGGAAATCAAGATTAATAAACTTCACATTTTCAAAGTAAAAGGCAGAAATATTTTCAGGCCTTCATTACACATAAGTGATAGAAAAGACACCATTTAATATATTTTAAATAGCCTCTCCCTGGCCCTTCAGCTGTGATATAAGATCTGAGAACATTATACTATACAACAATTATTAGTTATTTTGTGTAGAATTATCCTTTTCCCTTTGCCTGACATCATTTTTCCCTGCAAATTACATATAATTTCAACAACAATCCCTCAAGACAAAAATGTAGGCCAGATATTATAATCCTGCAGATCTACATAAAAAAAAACGGATGAGAAAAATGATGAAAAGCTTATTCCCGCTTTCCCCCAAGCTCTCTCCTGCTTCTTGGCAAAGCCATTAGCTGTGTGCTGGGCTAAAAGCAAAGCAGGAAAAAAGAATTTGAAGTTTTCCGTGTGCAATTATTGAGGAGATTGTTTCTTTAAAGTAACTGTCTCACTTTATATCAATTAAGTGACTTACAGTCTAAAATATACATCAATATCATTTCTATAAAATTTCAGATTAAAACCAACACTGGAAGGCAAATTAGTTTCCTTTGGTCACGTTTTTATTGATGCTTTGGCACAGAAAGGGGGATATGCATTTCTACAATGATTCTGTGTCACGAGATCATTATTACACCAGGATGATCTTTCCTGAGCTGTTTATGTAAGTCTGTCTATATCTTATCTAAAAAAATGCAAACTAATCTATAGTATTATATATGTATCTGTCAGCGGAGTTTTTCCCTTTCACATTTCAGCACAAAAAAACCTTTAGGAAGCCACGAACACATACATACATTTAGCTCTTTGCTCATCATTGATGACTGAACCGGAGTGCTTGGTGACTGCCCAGTTCCACAGGTTTATTGCGCTCTCCTCCACCTGAAGGGGAGAATTCCATTAGATTTAATTTCACCTTCATTTGGATCACACTGAAATGAACGAGTGGAATAAGAACCACCTTTAATGTATTTCATTTTAATGGCCTGTGCACATGTTTGTGTAGCTTCCTTGTGTAACAGTGGATTCAAAGGGGCAAGATTTCCATGAAACTATTACATGATCTGACTGTCTCCACAAAGAGATCCAGGACAGTAACCTAAAAACAAGCTTGCTGAATAGGCCACAGGGGTTTTCTTGCTCTAAAACTCAACAAATCAGACATTTCAGAAAACATAGAAGTGACTGGCAGGAATTTCGTAAGCATATGGCAGAAGATACACTTCTTAGTCGTACAAAAGACTATCTCACACCTAAATATTTGAGACCATTTCTAAGAGGAACTAGGATAAGAGGATTGTAAATGAGAGGCAGATACGAACTGGAACAAAAAAGAACTATTAATCATAAGACAGATAGCAGCACCCGCATACACGTCGCATCATCCATCAGTGCCTCCAGCTCTAATGTGAAACTGTGCACAAGGAATTCTGTAAGGGACGTGGTGGACTTCAGAAACAACCCGAGTCCTTTGTTTGGTATCATTAAAATACATTCCTAAAAAAAAAAATCCGCTTATTCAACATGTTACTCAAATGTCCTAACATAGGATTCCATCAAATCCTTTTGCAAACTTATCGAAACATGTTGTAACTTACTCTATAGGTGTATAGAATGAAGTTTTCTCACAAACAAACATACAAAAATAGTACATCGCTGTGCAAAACATGGCTGATTCCCTGCCAGCTTTAAGAACAGAGTATTTACAATTTAAGCAGATGTTGAAAATTAAAAGGGATGGGAAAAGAGCTCTGAGAATTTTAGCTGGTTGGCAAACATTTACAGTACCTCCTTCACATATTAAAAAAAATGAGTATGTTAAGTATGTATATAGAAAGGTTATAAAGATAATGGAGTCTTATGTGAAAGCAGTAAGCTCCTCGAACAATCCCAAATCAATACTTTTCATCACTTCAAACCATAAAATTGAATTCAAATGTTTCTCTAAAAAAAGACCGTGTTTAACAAGGAACTTTGGGCCTTGCACAAGAATCACACAGTAAAATTTTACAACCCCTTTTAAAGAGAGCAAATTACAAAATGATTTCTCCTTTCTGTAAAAATAATCTAGTCCAACAGGAAGAACTGAAGGATACTGGTTTTATGCAAATGTATTTCCTTACAGACAACATGGAAAATATTTTCCGCTGCGACACTGGCCAGCCCACCTCGCTCCTCGTCACAGATTTAAGATGCCAAAAACACCATCCGCCTTGCAGGATAATCACTGCAGAATTTCCCTGCAACACCCAATTTTCAAGGAAAAGGTTGGGGAAAATCTCTGTTATTCTTGTCTTTATTCCAGATTTATTCATCTCTCATCATTATTATTTTGGACGAAGCTCTAGTCAACGTAGAGGTTTCTCCCAAAGCACAAGTTTAGTAACTTATGAATAAGTACTCCTGCACAAAGACTATATTGAGGGAGAAAAACCCTATCAATAAAAGCATTATAAAAGGAATCGAATCACTGTTCAAATGCATGAAAATAAACTCATCCCAAATATTCAGTGCTGGGTTCCCTAGGCGGGGTTTTTCCTGCTCTGGTACCTGCCAGCAGCACCAAAGCCGCCCACCGGATGGGTCGGACTCAGTTTTGCCCCTCGATGATGTTTTTACACCCCCACCGTGATGTTTTTACGCCCCCGCGGAAGCGAGGGCGGGTTTTTATGCGATGACGGGTTTTTATACGATGACGCTGAGGCGCCGTGAGGACACGGAGCCGGGGGCGGCCGCTTCCCGCACCCTCCCCGCCGGGGACATTCCCGGCCGCGCTCCCTCGTGACGCCAGCGATTGAACCGGGGACTTTCCGCCCCGCTGGGCGCCCTAGCGGCGGGACGAGGCGGCGCTACCTCAGCCGCGCT